TATCCCTCTCGTTGGCCGCATCACCTTCATATTGGTGCACATAACAAAATTTCATGTGGTGGGGGTGGGGCCGAGGGGTTTGGAGTGTGGGGGAGGGCTCATGGCTGGGGTAGGGGTGCAGGGGTGTGAGGGCTCCGGTTGGGGATGCGGGCTCTGGAGTGGGACCAGAAATGAGGGGCTCAGGGCTGGGGCAGAGGGTTGGGGTGCAGGGGGTGAGAGCTCCAGCTGGGGGTGCAGACTCTGGGGTCAAGCTGGGGATGAGGGGCTCAGGGCTGGGGCAGAGGGTTAGGGGCTCCAGCTGGGGATGAGGGGTTTGGGGTGCAGGAGGGTGCTCTGGGGCTACGGCCGTGAGAGGAGTCCCCCCAGCTCTCTCTTCCCACAGCAGCACCTGGGCTGTGGGGGACAGGCACCTCTCCTTGCCGCAGCAGCTCCAGGGCTGGGGCCCTGGGATAGGCGCCCCCCTCAGCAGGTCTGGGCCGGGGCTAGGTTCAGGCTGCCCCTCCCCAGGCAGGTCCAGGGCTGGGGGAAGGGCACCCTGGCTGCAGCAGGTCCAGGCTGGGGCTGGGTTAAGGCCGCCCCTCCCCTGGCAGGTCCCAGCCGGGCGGGTTCCCTGAGCACCTGCGCGGCGCTAAATAGGCTGCTTACAGGGAACTTAGAAGGGTGTATAAATACTCGAACCCTTCCGCAGTACTTTGTTCCCACCCTCTTAGAGGTGGGCAGGATGGTCCTGGCAATTTTCAGGACCCCCTCAGGAGTGCGATGTGGGCTGGAATGGACGCTAAGAGCACATTAAACAATGTCTCCGTCTGCTCCTCCATCTCCTCCGCCTTGAGACCCACATGATGATGATGATGATGATTGGACCACTGGGGGAAGTCCGGCGGTGTCCTCATCCACTGGGAAGGGCGGCCTTGGGGTGGGTACTGGCTCCTCACCAGTGGCGGCTACCGCAGCATCCTGCACCGAACCCGGTGCCATCAGTGCAGTGGATGCTGACTTCGGCCTGTCCGACAGAGCAACCGAGGGCTGGCGGGAGTGGGGCAACAGCATGACGGGAATGCCCCAGGTATTCCAATAAGGTCATTGGGTTGGCCACTGGCCCTGCTGCCAGGCCAGCACCAATGCCGCGGACACGCCCCCTGGAGCCCAATCATGTTGCTGTCTGGGTGAGGGGCTGAATTCTGCCTCCAAGCGGGAGAAGTCGTCACCCTTCAGTGACCAAGGCGGGGCGACTGGTGCCGGGAGTGTTCCGACCGGTGCCGGGAGTAGGGAGAGCGGTGCCAGGTTAGGGAGAGACCTCAAGTGATGGCTCATCCCCTTGGAATAACCTGCCTCTGACGTAGAAGGTTGTGGTGATAGCTCTTGCTGGACTCTGAGGATTGAAGGGCCAAGTCCATGAGCAGGAGTTTAAGCCCCTCAATTCTCTGTCCTTCATGGACCTGGATTTTAAGCTCCTGGCACCAACCACACTTTGTCCAGGGGGTCCCCGCTCCTCCCCCAATAGAGTTGGCTGGAGGCAAACACTTTCTTCTTTTCTTTTTTTCCCAGCAAGGCCAACTAAAAAAAACTCAAGGAACTTACAGAAAAAAAAGCTTCAAGTGAAGTTGAATTTGCAAAACTATGGGGAGTTAACGATCAGTGAATGGACAGCTCTCAGCTTTATCTCTAGTAGGGGAGGTTGAGAAGGAACTGAGAGGGAAATGCCATTGCATGCTGACTAGCCTCTTGGCGGGCGAGGAGCCACATGTGCGGGACAAACTGCTACTGAAATTCTCTGATTGGCAGAATGGGGGCACACGCACACCTACAGTGGCACACCCATAGGGAAACTATTTGAAGAAGAATTCAACTGTGTGCCTGAGATAGGATGGTGACACGTGGTTCCCATGAGAGCTCTGGCAGGTCAGTATACTAGTGCTGTCTTAGAAACGCTGATGTAACCAGTACTCTTGCCTGCCTCTCTGGATCTTTTAAATCACGTAAGAGCTGAGAATTATTGGGGGAAATGTTTAGAGACAGACACTGCTCCAATCTAGGAGAAATGCATCTTAGAGAGACCTTTTTTTGTTCCAGGACAGGGAGTAATATTTGCTGTTTTTCCTAGTGGGCAAGAGTTCCATCACAAGTATCCACCAGTTGCTGAAGAGGTAGAGAACAACTGATGTTTTCATGAAACAGTCATATTGTTCCAGTCATTTTCTGCCCAAGAAGTCTGCTTGGACATTTTGAACTCCCACTAGGTGTAGGCATATGGAGTGAATACAATGATTTATGCACCACTGCCATGGTTTCACAGCCTTCAGGCACAATAGAGGAGAGTGAGCTTCATCTTGTATGTTTAGATAGGGTCTGTTGGTGCTGTGTATAGTAGAAAGAAGGCCTGAAACATAAGCCCTTGTATCAGAGGCCTGATCTGAGGCCTGGGCTAAAGTAGTGGTCAAAGCTTTGCTGATACAAAGCAAAATCAGGCTGTGAGCTAGAGGCAGACCCTGCTCACAGAATCTGGCAAGAACAGGGTTGATATTGGCAAAAAAAACAAAAAAAAAGCCACACCACACACCACATTCTTAAGAGGTGCTAGGCACAGAGCACTCATGCAAACACATTCCAGAAGGGTGGGACCAGAACACCCTGATACCAACATATTCCCTAAAGAGAACAGGAACACGCTGACCCATCCTAAATATAAGGTCAGGATGACAATGTGATTAAATTAAATTAAATTAAATTAATGGAGATATCCTATCTCCTAGAACTGGAAGGGACCTTGAAAGGTCATCGAGTCCAGCCCCCTGCCTTCACTAGCAGGACCAAGTACTGATTTTGCCCCAGATCCCCAAGTGGCCCCCTCAAGGATTGAACTCACAACCCTGGGTTTAGCAGGCCAATGCTCAAACCACTGAGCTATCCCTCCCCCCTGATGGATAGAGATGTTTTGATCGAATCAATATGTACAAGGTAATGGGTGGTAACAACCCACATCAGGTGGCAGGTAACTAACCACATCAGAGGGGCAATATGTAATTTGTTTGTATTGATGTATAAAATGAAACCTCAAAGGGAGTGTCTCTCTGGCCTATGGAGGAATGGAAAGTCCCACCGTTCACCGAGTTGGTCTATTGTCATGGGCATACATTTGTTATAGTGTAACCATTGAACCAGGGTATTAGCACCGTGCTTCACTGGAAATAAAACTGACCTGGTGCCTTAGCTATTAAACCAAGTCTTGTAGTCTTACTGGGCAGTTCGATGGAAGCCTGCTGTATGGGCTATGTGGCCAGAGCCAGTGCAGCACATAGAAATAACACGCACACAGCCAAACATCTAACAACACTGTTGTCCATCAATATCTGAAGAAGTTTCTCACTTTGTGCAATAACAATGGTTCTTCAAGATGTGTTCCCCTATGGGTGCTCCACGGCAAGTGTGTCTCCGTCCCAGCGCTGCTGATCGGTAGCCAGCACACATGGGCTAATCATCCTCAGTTTCTTCTCTACCACAGGGTCATAAGCGAGAACTCCAAAATAGAAGGGAGGAGGGCAGGTAGTGGAGCAGTTACTATAGGGACACACATCTCAAAGAACCATCATTACTCCACAAGTACCATCAAGAACCATCGTTACTACTTCTTCAAGTAGTGTCCCTCTGGGGGCTCCACTATAGGTGACTCCCGACCAGTACCACTCTTGGAGGAATGGGACTTCAGAGTCGGGTTAGTCACAGGTGATAGTACTGTGGTGTCAAAGATGGCATCAGAGGCAGAGTCCCCTGTGATTGCATAATGTTCTGTGAAGGTGTGGACTAATGCCCACAATGCCGCTCTGCAGATCTCTGAGATGGGGACGTCCTTAAAGAAGGTGACAGATGAGGAGATCCATCTCATGCAATCTGTATGGATGGAGTCTGGGGGAATCATGTTATGAATTTGGTAGCACTGCCTGATGCAAACCAAGACCCACTTAGAGAGCCTTTGGGCTGATATCACTAAGCCCCTAGATCTTTCTGCCATAGAGAGGAAAAGTCTAGGGCAGGGGTGGCCAACCTGTGGCTCTGGAGCCACATGCGGCTCTTCAGAAGTTAATATGCAGCTCCTTGTATAGGAACCGACTCCGGGGCTGGAGCTACAGGCACCAACTTTCCAATGTGCTAGGGGGTGCTCACTGCTCAACCCCTGGCTCTGCCCCCACTCCACCCCTTCCAATCCCCTCCCAAGTTTGCTGTGCCCTCACTCCTCCCCCACCAGAGCCTCCTACAGGCTACAAAACAGCTGATCGGGAGGTGGGGGAGACAGAGGGAGGTGCTGATCGGCGGGGCTGCCGGTGGGTGGGAGGGGAACTGATGATGTATTACTGTGGCTCTTTGGCAATGTAACATTGGTAAATTATGGCTTCTTCTCAGGCTCAGGTTGGCCACCCCTGGTCTAGGGGACTTCATAGAGGTTTTTGTCCTATCGAGATAGAATGAAAGGGAGCTCTCCTAACATCTAAAGTGTGTAGTATGGCCTCCCTATTGTCTTGGTGAAGCTTGGGGTAGAAGGCAGGAAGATGGATAGCCCACGTACAATGGCTAGCCTCAAGGTGCAGCATGAGGAGAGACAATGCATGTGCAGGCCCAACAGACACGGCTACCGAAGATCTCGGATCAGCAGTGCAGGGACACAGACACACCTACAGTGGAGCACCCATAGGGACATTACTCGAAGAAGAAACAACTTTCTTCTCAGGAAAGAAAAACATTTTAAAGTGCAATGGATCACCAGGAAGAGAAAGGTGAGTGCTATTTTACATAACTTACTTAATGCTGCCTCAAATTGGAACAGGTCGCCTTTAGAAATTGCAAAGTTCAGGACACTTGACATATCATGTGCCAGGAAGTACCAGACTCCAAAAGTAGGATCTCTTTTCAGGAGACCAAAAGGGTTGCCGTAATTTGGAAACCCATAAAACAAGTGCCTTTTCCAAATTTCCCCCTCAATAATTTGAAATAAGTGCAACACATACCTTGTTTGTCTTTTGCCATTAAGAAGTTGCTGTGCAACTGAGGCACATTTGTCTGCATCCTGAGTAACTAATCGGAGGTGTCGCAGTAGATCATTATCTGGAAACTTTCTCATTTCTGATTCTTCTATCAAAGCCTTAAAACTGATGAGGCCTTTTAGAAGAGAATATTTTCTTTAATTAAAAATAGTCCTTTTTAGGATTGATTTTAAGTAATAGAGAAGAATACTGCAGTGCAATAACTGTAATGCAACAATGTCTAATAAAAAAACCCTGAAGCTGGTACAGAAATTTTTAAAAAACTGCACTCTCAGATATACAACATCCCCTACCTGCCAAACCCATACAACCCAACCTCCAACAAGCTTCTCTTTGGGGACTCTCACTGTTAGTTGTGAGATGGAATCACAGAATATCAGGGTTGGAAGGGACCTCAGGAGGTCATCTAGTCCAACCCCCTGTTCAAAGCAGGACCAATCCCCAGACAGATTTTTGCCCCAGGATCCCTAAATGGCCCCCTGAAGGATTGAACTCATAACCCTGAGTTTAGCTGGCATATAAATATACAGATTTATTTATATGATACATAAATAAGCTTCAAAGACAAAGTTGTTGAGTTTCAGAAATTAACAGTGGAACAAGAAACATTTCGGAAATTGACAATTTTTAGCATCTGTAGCAAATACAAGATAAGGAAAATACATACTTCTTTTATTGTTAATTTTTGCCTCCAAAGCTTCATCTACTTTTGAAGCCCATTCATTGTAGGATTCTGCACGCAATTTCAGTGCATTCATCATTGGATAGAGATCATCTAGTTTATATCGATATCTGCAACGGGCACAGAATTCAATCCCTTTAGTAAGGCATGAATGACCACCAAAATAAGATTGTCTAGTATCCATATGAACCACCACTGCTTTATCTATAGAAGTTTGTACTTACTATTATTCATTGTATTATTCAGTGCTCACAAGCATATGAGGCACCTCATATTACAAATTCTAGACCAGGTTCCTGCTCTGAAGAGCTCGCAATCCAACTGAACATAAGACAGTGAAGAGATAATAAAACAGTAGGGAGGAACAGAGGGGTGAAGGACAGCTCAGGAAAGCAACTTGATTACTCAGTTACTCAGCAAAGGCTAGACCTGGATCACCTGTTCTGTTCATTTCCTCTGGGCAGGGCCGGATTAACTCTCCTGTGGACCCGGGGCTATTAGATTTTGTGGGGCCTGTATACCAGTCTTTTTCCTGGGAGGGAGCTTGGTGCAGGAGAGGGTGCGGGGTTTGGGAGGGAGTTTGGTGCAGAAGGGGGTTCAGGGCTAGTGCAGAGTGTTGGGGTGCAGGAGAGGGTGAGAGTGTGGACTCCGGGAGGGAGTTTGGTACAGAAGGGGGCTCCAGGTTGGGGCAGGGTATTGGGGTGCAGGGTCTGTGAGGAAGTTTGGGTGCAAAAGGGAGCTCCGGGCTGCTGAAGGGTGTTGGGGTGCAGGAGAGGGTGAGGGCTCTGGGAGGGAGTTTGAGCGCAGAAGGGGATTCTGACCTGGGGCAGGGTGTTGAGGTACGGGGTGGGGGGGGAGGGCACGAGGTGTAGGCCCTGGCCGGGATGCGCTTACCACATGCGGCTCCTGGCCGGTGGTGCAGCAGGGCTTAGGCAGATTACCTGCCTGCCTGCCATAGCCCTATGCCGCTCCCGGAAGCGGCCAGCTGCTGACACGTCTCAGCATGTCACTGAGGGGAGGGGCACAGTGTGTCTCCACGCACTGCCTGCACCCACAAGTGCCACTCCCGTAGCGCCACTCATTGTGGGGATGGTACTGGGGGTGGGGCCAGCACGCGGAGCCTCCTCCCCCTCCTGGGCCACTGAGACTTGTCAGCAGCCAGCCGCTTCTGGGAGCAGCATGGGGCCAGGGCAGGCAGCCTGAGCACAGGAGATCACTGCCTGTGATTTATTTTTGCAGGAGCCCCCTTGAGCTAGGGCTCCAGGCTGCACCCCTATCAGAAGAGAGGATACCAGGCTAGATGGACCTTTAGTCTGACCCAGTGTGGCCATTCTTATGTTTCATCTTGCTATAGTAGTTACAAGTCTTCTTTTGGTATAAATAAAAAGAATGAGCACACTAATTTCTTGTAGATGTTACATGGAGTGTAGTTGTAGCTGTGTGGGTCCCATGATATTAGAGACACGAGGTGGAGGAGGTAATATCTTTTATTGGCCCATCATCTGTTGGTGAGAGAAACAAGCTTTCCAGCCACACAGAGCTCTTCTTCAGGTCTGGGAAAGGTATTCCGAGTGTCACAGCTAAATGCAAAGTGGAACAGATTATTTAGCATAAGTAGTTAGCACATATGTGGGTGAACACTGCACTCTAAAATGAACTTGTACAGGAAAATAATGAAAGACAAAAATACCTTACTACCTGTGGGTGAATACTTTTCACAAAGCAATCACTCTATATCTGACCTATCAGTCCTCATCCTTAAAGGAAACCTGCACAACACTTTCAAAAGATGAGCCTGGGAGCTTAAATTCATAACTCTGGTAGACACTAAAAATCAGGGACTGAACAGACACTGGATTTATGGCTTATTGCAACAATCTGTAACCCACCACCCCTTTTTGTCCTATGACTGCAGAGATGTTAACAGACCACTCTACCTTGAATGGTCCCTTACAATATGTGCTAACTACTTACACTAAACAATCTGTTCCACCTTGCATTTTGCTATGATGCTCTGAGTATCTCTCCCAGACCAGAAGAATTGCTCTGTGCAGCTTGAAAGCTTGTCTCTCACACCAACAGAAGCTGGTCCAATAAAAGATATCACCTCGCCCACCTTGTCTCTCTTGTAGGTGTTATGGCAGAAATATATCTTGTGGGATTTGAAAAAGAAAAGTTAATGGCATTATACACCATCTCAGAAAGGATGTTCCTTGTTTGGGGCACTGTGGAAATAAGTTTGAACATGGTTCTGCGAGAAATATAAATGGCATCACTAGCAAAGTAGACAAGTGATGTGCCTCCCACCTCCACTAGAATCCTCAAAAAACTAAATTTAAGAAAAGCATATCCTAGTCCTCATAGACCCCAATGAACAAACCTTTTTTCTAGCCAAAACATACCCCAATGTATATTTAAAGGTGGGACAGGAGCAGAGATCTTCTACGTGATACAGGCATACCAGTAAACCAGGTTTACATGAGCAATAGACAGCAGACATGAAGCAAGTGGTTTTACACTTTATGCACTGGCGCTCATCATCTGGCAACATTTCAAAAGCCATCCTCTCGGAATCAGTCACTCCCTACAACAGAATACACTAAAGTGACTTCACAGTATAACAAACAGAGCAGACTAGTTCAGACTAGAAGATCAAAAGTTAAGTTGATCAAAGACATGATTTATCACGAAAGTTTAGGATTAAGATATTGGATATATTAAAATAATCACATTTTGGTTAATGAAGACTCAACTACTTCAACTAAGTTACTGAAGAAACTATAAAACCTATTATTTTAAAAAGGCATTTAAAAAAAAACGATTAAGGGCCTGATTCTAATACCCCACTAATGTCAAGTAGTTCTTTCCTCAACTAGTCCCATTGAAATCAAAGGGTTAGGGTAACATTAATGCAGGACACCATGGGTGAACTTCACATCATGACTTTAAAGTTACTTCAGTAAGCATAATTTTATTTCCTAAAGCTTACCAGTTTAAGCACAGCTTCTCGTAAAGCCTTTTCATCTTCAATCATAATAGCCATGTCTTTCTGAACAGTAGAAGCTACCACAACATCAAGGACGTCTGCTTTGGAAGCCATTTTACATATCATCTCATCATGAGAAAAAACACAGTAGCGGTTTAACAGGCGATAATGTTCCACACACTGGCGACCCAATGGCAGCTGTATCGGGGCAGGGTGGAGAGGGAGGAGTGTCAGAAAGATTTTTTTTTTAAATGTTATTTATGAAACCTTTAGAGGCATAATAGCGTGAAGGCACAGACTGTCTGTGCTATTAACTAATTACTATCTATCCACTCAAATGAAAGCCAATAGGAGCGCATTCTAGGAACAATATATATTAATTTTAATCAAAAGTACACCACATGTTAAAGAGTAAACAAGACCATGAGCAAGTTCCTATAACTCAGGATACTGACTACTGTGTTTGGACTTAGTAGGAGCATTGCCAGCAGATCAAGGGAAGCGATTATTCCCCTCTATTTGGCACCGGTGAGGCCACATCTGGAGTATTGCATCCAGTTTTGGGCCCCCCACTACAGCAGGATGTGGACAAATTGGAGAGAAACAACAAGGAGTCTGGTGGCACCTTAAAGACTAACAGATTTAGTGCCTTGCATGGTATCAAGTATCAGGGGGTAGCCGTGTTAGTTTGTATATACTACAATACTCACCTGGGGAAGTGAGGAAACAGATTGACAGCACAAGACGGGTACACAGAAATCACCTACTACAGGACAGGCCCAACAAGGACAATAACAGAACACCACTGGCCGTCACATACAGCCCCCAGCTAAAACCTCTCCAGCGCATTATCCACGATCTACAACCTAGCCTGGAAAACGATCCCTCACTCTCACAGACTTTGGGAGGCAGGCCAGTCCTCGCTTACAGACAACCCCCCAACCTGAAGCAAATACTCACCAGCAACTACACACCACACCACAGAAACACCAACCCAGGAACCAATCCCTGTAGCAAACCTCATTGCCTACTCTGTCCTCGTATCTACTCTGGCAACACCATCAGAGGACCCAACCACATCATCAAGGGCTCATTCACCTGCACATCTACTAATGTTATATATGCCATCATGTGCCAGCAATGCCCCTCTGTCATGTACATTGGCCAAACCAGACAGTCCCTCCGCAAAATGGACACAAATCGGACATCAGGAATGGAAACATACAAAAGCCAGTAAGTGAACACTTCAATCTCCCTGGTCATTCTATTACAGATTTAAAAGTCACTATCATTGAACAAAAAAACTTCAGAAACAGACTTCAAAGAGAAACAGCAGAACTAAAATTCATTTGCAAATTTAACACCATTAATCTGGGCTTGACTAGGGACTGGGAGTGGCTGGCTCATCACTGAAGCAGCTTTTCCTCTCCTGGAATTGACACCTCCTCATCTATTATTGGGAGTGGACTATGTCCACCCTGATTGAATTGGCCCTGTCAACACTGGTTCTCCACTTGCGAAGTAACTCCCTGCTCTCCATGTGTCAGTATATAATGCCTGCATCTGTAACTTTCACTCTATGCATCTGAAGAAGTGAGGTTTTTACCTCACTAATAAATCTGTTAGTCTTTAAGGTGCCACCAGACTCCTTGTTGTTTTTGTAGATACAGACTAACACGGCTACCCCCTGAAATTGGGGAGAGTCCAGCAGAGGGCAACGAAAATGACTTATGAGGAGAGGCTGAGGGAAATGGGCTTATTTAGTCTGCAGAACAGAAGAGTGAGGGGGGGATTTGATAGCAGCCTTCAACTACCTGCAAGGGGGGGTTCCAAAGAGGATGGAGCTTGGCTGTTCTCAGTGGTGGCAGATGACAGAACAAGGAGCAATGGTCTCAAGTTGCAGTGTGGGAGGTCTAGGTTGGATATTAGGAAAAACTATTTCACTAGGAGGGTGGTGAAGCACTGGAATGGGTTACCTAGGGAGGTGGAGGAATCTCCCTCCTTAGAGGTTTTTAAGGCCCATCTTGACAAAGGCCTGGCTGGGATGAATAAATTGGGGTTGGTCTTGCTTTGAGCAGGGGGTTGAACTAGATGACCTCCTGAAGTCTCTTCCAACCCTAATCTTCTATGATTCCATGACTTGGAAACTTGTTGCACTCAGGGCCAGATTAAGAAAATCCAGGGCCCTAAGCACACTAGAACAATCCCCAAAGCAATGAGTCTTGGAGTTAACATGCTATGAACAGGAATGGAACAGTTCACCTGTTCCACTGTTTTTTTAGTCTGTCTGCAGATTCAGGCTGACATCACTGTAGTGGTTACACTCATATCACATTTTCTAGTTTATCTTTGCAACCATCAGGGCTACAGGTTTGTTTGTTTTTTAAACATTTACATTCTGATGTATTCATATGACTCCAGGAGTTGGAGCTCTGGATATAGACACTTTAGGCCATTATTCCAGCCTCCCTTGTACTATTTATAAACAGCATTTTGAAATCAGAGCAGCAGCATTTCCAAATGGCCCACATGTAAATGACTGAAAATTGTTTCATAGAATGACAAAATTTGTGTTGGGAAAATCCAAACTGAGACTCATCAGAAACAATTGTACTTGAAAGGACAGTTATGAGACCAAACAATATTTTAATCTCTGGAGATGTTATTTGTTATCATGTTATAGATATTATAAGGTGGCTGCATTTCCCTGCTCAGTGTATTTTGATTAAAAGCAATAAGGAGGACAGAAAATAGCTTTAACAGCCATAATCTTTGGTTTGTATAGTAGCCTATTATCTGCTGCTGCTCTGAACAGGGATCTTCTGTTTTATCATTTAGGATTAGACCACTAAGACTTCCAGTAAATTAACACTGATGTACACTCCAGGCAATGGCCTCTTGGAACAGTTCTGCCTGATTCTCTGAGATGCAATTGCATAAATCTTACAATACTTAACAGCTGACGTGTGCATGCAAGAAATGCAGTTTTAGTTTTCCTGGCTACTTTTTTCCAAGTGAAAGCAATGTGAAAATCTCATGCTAGTGCACAGAATTTCCTGGTGAGATGGAACAAGTGAATCTCTACAGATGGTTAGAGCTGTAATACGTGGTCAAGATAAAAATTTGAAAATGCCAAAGCAAACCATGTTTCATAACCTATTCTGATTTTGCTCTTATTTAAATAACAGAGGACAGTTCCAATCTTTACCTAACAACAGAAAGTATTATCATAGAAAGGGGGGAGGGATAGCTCAGCGGTTTGAGCATTGGCCTGCTAAACCCAGGGTTGTGAATTCAATCCTTGAGAGGGCCATATAGGGATCTGGGGCAAAAATCTGTCTGGGGATTGGTCCTGCTTTGAGCAGGGGGTGGACTAGATGACCTCCTGAGGTCCCTTCCAACCCTGATATTCTATGATTAAATACTGTTAAAGAGTTAAAATTTGGATTTAACAGTACTGCTTAATGGTACTTCAAAAATCCTTGAAGTGGGGTAATAGTCCAAAAGAGTTCCATTCCACACTGATGTAACCTGAAGACAGTCACATTGAATAAATATTATTTGTCTGATCATAGGGATGGAACAGGACCCTATTTTGCTAGGTGCTGTACAAACAAAGACAGTCCCAACTTCAAGCAGTTTACAATCTAAGTAAATATAATTTACTGTAAAAAAATGGATAAGACAAACTTGGAGATGCTGGCCCACAATTTTTGTCTGTTCTTGTTCCAAGATATGCCACAAAAATCTTTTAAAAGGTGTTTGAAGCAAAGTTGGAAGAGTCCCTATGCTTGATTCGGAATAATAATTTTCCTGTTATTAGGTCAAGAATGGGGGTGGGGGTGCACAAAAGGTAGCTTTAAGCAACCTTTGTGCTCCCTGTATTCTCATGACATACAGGGCTCTGTCCAGTCCCTAGTATAAGTTAAAGCAGCCATGAGGCTGCTCTGACTCATGCTCTGTTTCCCCAGAACTGTTATGGGCACTGGGAAGCAGAGAATACCCATAGTTCAGTGCACTCTGGCCACGCCTCCATGACCAACATGCCCTGTTAGTTGCAGGCTGAGAGCAACATCTGCGTAGAGTCTTCTGCAATTCTGTAGTGTTTGGGCAGGCCCCTTGCCTAACGGGTATTTCTCAAGGGGCTGTTTCCATGGCAGAAATGGCCTTAGTGTAACTAAGAATCACAACCCACATTAATAATTGATGTTTGATTCTTTTAGGGGAGTTGGGTGAGGGGAAAGTGTTCAGTCAGTACACTGAACTCATTTTAAAGCTGATTTAGTATTCTGAAATCACTAAGCTATGTAAAGCTAAAGTGTTTTCATTAGAAGTATTGCACAAAGTGAAAAATAGCAAAGCACCACTATCCACGCTGCGTTTTCTTTGGTCATTGTGCACTAGGAAAATTCTTCTTTATGCCTTCCACTCAGCTGATTCAAGTGAGACTGTGCATGCACAATAAAATTACCACCACACTACTTAGTAAGCATATACTTTTACTGAAAATTCATACCATGTCCTTAAAACATACCCAATCAACTGTGCAGAAGTTCACAGCTTCAGCAAAATTGAAACCCTGGTTAAAGCCACTGTGATAGGCTCTTGGAAATGTAATCACAAATTCTCCAGCACACTGGTTGGTTCGGTAAACCTAATAAAAACAAGAGGCAAACCAAGTTGATTTCTAACAATGGGTGAGAATTACACAGAGGTACAGGTTAGATTTTCAAAGCCACCAAGGGCATGTGGATCCCCAATGCCCATTTATTTAGCTTAAAGCACTTCAAAAACCTTAGCCAAAGAGTTACAATTTTTATTCAGAAAGCACAGGGACTACACACTGCAGGTAAACTCCTAGTGCCAACAATTAGGTTGAAAAATGCTGACAAAACAAATGGTGACAACTCCCAGCACAGAGTGTTACTCAGCCTTACTGGCAGATGGAACTACCACTCAGCCAGTATATGTACTGTAAAGGTGGCAGATATTTTTCTAAAATGTAAGAGCTCATATTTTTTTCAAACAAGAAACAGCAAATTTGGCCTTAAAAAAATAAACAAATAGTCTAGTGCTTGGTGGCTGATGGATTTTTTGTTTGGTTTTGAATATACATTTTTCTTTAAAAGGTGGCAAACTCAAGGGTCATTTAGGACAAGATCGAGTTTCCTTTCAGCTCTGAGTAAGGGGCAGTGTGAAGATGTGCTGCTACAGGAAGAGCAATGGAAAGGACGCGAGACTGAATTTGCACATCAGGGAGGGGAGTATGCTGCACTGACTCATTACAGCAAACTCTCACCCCACAGGCCACCCACCAGAGCTGGCTAAACACAAGGGGACGGGAGAACAGCCATGGGGTCTGCCTAATTCCCAACCCCATCCAACCAACTAGATAAAAAGGATTGCCCATCCTTTCAAACCAGTACATTACACCAGCTCAAGTCCCTGCTGCTCTCCCCAACCCTGGACTCAGATGTAAGTGGGTTTGATATGGCCACACAGGAGAATGAGGGGAGGCCTTACTTCCCTTAACAAGCCCCTCCAGCTGATGCAGCCCTAAACATGGCTAAATCACAATATAGCCTTTAAACAGTAAATCTGCAGCTATCAATTAATGTGACCTCATTGATGATCTTAAATCAGGACAAGATAAACCTGCATATTCCACACATTTTTGTGGTCTCTGAATTTGACTTCAGCTATCATTGCAATTCTGAGATGCATGTATTGGTCAGGGAAGTATTTAAAATGAGAGCCGTATGTCTCATTTCACAAGTGATATATGAAAGTCACTCGGCTCTTCATAAAGAGGAATTAAGTTTAAGATTAGTGAGCTGCTGAAGTATATACTGAGATGGAGATGTTTTAAAATGTGCAGGTGGTGGAGGGGAGGAGGTTGGAAGTTACCTGTAATTTCTTGTTTTCTGAAACACCATGAGACCAAGCAAGAATTCCCACAACTTAAAACGTCTGTCTCTGAAATCACACTTTAGGTACCTTAAACTGTCTCACTCCCTCTATGTTTCCACTGGGTTCCAAAGTCAGCTCCTTTCAAAAGCCAGTTAAGTACATGGGAAGTACATCCTTTCAAAGTCTGAGAGGAAGGATGGTGAGTGATGCATTTTCTTTAATAGGTAAATAATGACCCAGAATGACAGGAAATATGAGAGAGGAAGGATGTAGATGAGGCACTGCCAAACTATTCAGCACAGCAGGGAAGATCTACAAAGAAGTCATGGTTCCCCTCCCTCTGCTGGGAAGTTGTGTTCCAAACACCATCAGAAATGAAATAAGCTTGGAACAAACAGGGGGCAGCCAAGAGTTCTAGTGTCCAACTAAAGGGCACCTGACAAGCCTCCACAAGTGCCTCAAAAACTCAAACCACCTTATGTGGAACATGGACCCAGGAATGGAAATCCATTGAGACAGATCTCTCTGGAGAAGAGCATGTGAAATAATCTTAAGTGAGTCGAAAAAGTAATGACAGATGGCCCATCCTTTCAAACCAGTCCATTATACCAGCTCAAACAAATGTAATTCGTCCAATACATTATTTCTATAGCGTGCAATACATGCATAAGCTACTGCAAAGTTGTGTTAACAATTTATTTAAATTGTCAACCTTACAGAAGAAACCAACATAAAAGAAGAGGAGATAAAAGATAATGAGCACAGAACTCCAATGACATACGGGCACTCCGTGGGCCATCAGCGTATTTGGGTTCATAATGGTGACAAGCTGATGCAAAAGATCAGGTTGAGACACAAATAACTCGGGAGCCAGCTTCTTCATTACATCTTCCAGCTGCTCAGCTGCATACCCCGGGGCTCCATACCACGTTTTCGGTTCCCCCCTGCAAGTTTAAAAAAAGGGGGTGCTAAATATAAACAAGGTTGTATGTTCACATTTACAGGCTCTTGCTTCACAACACATTGTATGGAAAAGATGCTAAATAAGCACTATTCAGGAGTGCACTAAGGGTTCTCTACATAGTGGAGTAATGTGCTGTACAGGGGTGTGATTTCTACAGTTCATTAACATGCTGTGCATTACTTTATCCATATAGATCTTACTGGTGCACTTTAAGGTAGCACTGTTTGAAACAATACTGTTCAAGTATACTAGGCAACCTTTAGTCTACACAGACCAATTGATACATAGCACATTAGTGCACTTTAGAAATCACACCCCCATAAAGTGCATTACCCCATCACATAGACAACTCCTAAGACTCTATCCCAGAGGTGGGCAAACTACAGCCCATGGGCCGCATCCAACCCGCCAACCATTTTAATCCGACCCTCGACCTCCCGCTGGAGAGAGGGGTCTGCGGCTTGCCCCGCTCTGGCGCTCCAGCCAGGTAGCAGGTTCAGGGGCTGCTCCATGCAGCTCCTGGAAGCAGCGGCATGTCCCCCCTCTGGCTCCTACGCATAGGGGCAGCCAGGGGGCTCCGCTCCGTATGCTGTCCCCACCCCAAGCACCGCCCCCCACAGCTCCCATTGGCTGGGAACTGCGGCCAATGGGAGCTGCAGAGTGGTGCCTGCAGATAGGGCAGCATGCAGCAGAGCCACCTGGCCGCACCTCCGCGTAGGAGCTGGAAGGGGTGGGTGGGGGGGGGGACGACATGCCGCTGCTTCCGGGAGCTGCTTGAGGTAAGTGCTGCCCGGAGCCTGCACCCCTGAGACACCCCTCCCCCACCCAACCCTCTGCCCCAGCCCTGATCCCCCTCCCACGCTCTGAATCCATTGGTCTCAACCCTCCTGCACCCCAAACCCCTCATCCTCAGCCCTACCCCAGAGCCTGCACCCCCAGCCAGAGTCCTCACACACATGCCAGTACTTCATCCCCCTTGCCCCAGCCCAGAGCCCCCTCCTGCACTCTGAACTCCTCATTTCTGGCCCTACTCCAGAGCCCTCACCGCCCCCCTCCCCCGCACCCCAACCCCAATTTTGTGAGCATTCATGGCCCACCATATAATTTCTATACTCAGATGTGGCCCTTGGGTCAAAAAGTTTGCCCACCCCTGCTCTATCCACTGCCCTAACTCTTAACATTTAATAATATAGGTTCTTTCTTCAGACTTAACTGAAATTGCCTATAAAAGTGTATTGTGGAATTCCACTTTTATTGCCTCAAGAGCAAGTCTGCTCATGTTCGTGTTCTTTCACTGCAATGCAACAAATTCCACCTGGGGCCTGACAACCTCTGGCTAAGCCATAATCACCATAGAAGCAATATGCTGTAACTCCTCATTTAACATTGCCCCGGTTAAATGTTGTTTCGTTGTTAAGTTGCTGATCAATTAGAGAACATGCTCATTTGAAGTTGCGCAATGCTCCCTTATAACGTTGTTTGGCAGCCACCTGCTTTGTTCACTGCTTGCAGGAAGAGCAGCCCGTTGGAGCTAGCTGGTGGGGGCTTGGAACCAGGGTGGGCCGGCAGCCCCCTATCAGCTCCCCTAAGTTCCCTGTGCAGCAGTTGCCCAGCAGGCTATCAACTGCCGGGCAGTTCAGCTGTCCCTCCCCTCACTGCCATGTGCTGCTCTTGCCCTCTTCCTTGGAGCTGCTCCCGGGAGCCTCCTGCTTGCTGTGCAGAGGGGTAGAGGGGGAAAAGAGGGGTGCTAATGTCAGGGTGTCTCCTTCCCCCTGCTCCTATAACCCATCTCCACAGAGCAATGGGGGGGACATGACAGGGCTCAGGACGGAGGGAGCTTGCTGGCAGCAGCTGCTGTCTCAACTTGCTGATCTACTTTAAAGACAGGACCCTCTGTTGCTTTTTAAAGACAGTGTACTTAAAGTGGGGTCAGGATACTTAAAGGGGCAAGGCACATCTCTCTCTCTCCCCCACACATGGTATGTGTCTCTCTCTCTGCCATGCTGAGTCTCCTCCCTCCATTCCTGCTGCCTTGTAGAGTGTGAGGCTACATTAACAATGTGTTAACCCTTGAGGGTTCAGCTAAGTGCTAGTTCATCATTTAGCAGTAAGGCATTCCACGGGAAATATCCCACTCTCTTTCACCCTCTGACTCCACCACCTCTACCAAGCTTCACAATTATCATTGCTGTGTATAGTATTAAACTGTTTGTTTAAAGAAGAGAGAGAGAGAGAGAGAGAGGGGTCTTTTGTCTGGCAAAAAAAATTTCCCTGGAACCTACCCCCCATTTACATTAATTCTTATGGGGAAATTGGATTCACTTAACATTGTTCCCCTTAAAGTAGCATTTTTCAGGAACATAACTACAATGTTAAGCGAGGAGTTACTGTATAACAAATGGAAAAGGGGGAAACAAATAGCAATGCATATAAAATTAGAAGTTGTGAAGTACAGAAAATGGATAAAGAAAGGTAAAAACCATCAAGGAAAAATCCAATGCTGGAAGAAATTTTTTTAAAAACATATCAGGAACAAAAGAAATTCTAGCAAGAATATAGGACCAACACTAGATAGTCATGATAAAATTGTTGTTAAAGATGCAGAACAGTCAACCTGTGGAACTCTTTGCCAGAGGATGTTGTTACAGCCAAGACGATAACACAGTTCAAAAACTGGATAAATTAATGGAGGATAGGTCCATCAATGGCTATTAGCCAAGATGGGCAGGGATGGTGTCTTTAGCCTCTGTTTGCCAGAAGCTGGGAATGAGCAACAGGGAATAGATCACTTGATGACTACCTGTTCTACACCTGGCATTGGCCAGTCCGAAGACAGGATACTGGGGCTAGATGGACCTTTGGTCTGACTCAGTATGACTGTTCTTATGTAACAGATACAAGTGTTCAACAAATATTCATGTTCTGCATTTGGAAAGAAGCAGGATGGAATATTCGTATCAGATGAGAATGATGAATTACTTTCCAATCCATTCGTAATGAAGAAGGATGTTAGATGCCATCTACTAGAGATAAATATTCTTAAAGTCAGCAGGCCCAAATGACTTGCTCCCAAAAGTCCTAAAAGAGATGGCTGATGAGTTCTCCAGCCACTGATGTTAATTTTTAATAAATCTTGGACAATAGGGGAAATTCCAGGAAATTGGATGAGTGCTCATGCTAATATTCAAAATTCAAAAAATTGGTAAGTTGCTAATAAGAGATTCAGTTGATGAAGTACTAAAGGATAGGAACATAATTAATGTCAGTTAACATGGTTTTATGGAAAACAAGTGTAGTTAATGAAAGAATTAAATCAGGTTTGTTTAAGATTACAAGTTTGGTCAATAAAGATATCTGCACAGATGTCAAACTTGTGTAAGACTTAGTTCCACATGACATGCTGATTAAAAAATTAACACTGTACAATATCAGTAACTGAGATCTCAAAAAGTTGTGGCATCAAATGGGGATGTTTCTAGAGAGGCTGTAGGCCCAATGACAGTCAACATTTTCATAAATGATCTGGAAGTAAATATAAAACCACTGCCAATAAAATCTGCAGAGAACACATACAGGTGGAATGGTAAATGAGGAGATGGTCAGGGCAGTTATACATAGCAACCTGGATCACGTGGTAAGCTAGGTCCTTTCAAACAAAATGTGTTTTAATACAGCCAAATGCAAAATTGTATGTCTGATACAAAATTACTCACTATAGTTAGTTACAAAGCAGACTGTGAAGAGTTACAAAGGGATCTCACAAAACTGGGTGTCTGGGCAACAAAATGGCAGATTAAATTCAATGTTGATAAATGCAAAGAAATGCACATTAGAAAACATAATCCCAACTATACATATAAAATGATGGGGTCTAAATTAGCTGTTACCACTCAAGAAAGATCTTGGAGCCATCATACACAGTTCTCTGAAAACATCTGCTCACTGTGCAGCAGCACTCAAATAGGCTAACAGAATTTTAGGAACCATTAGGAAAGGGATAGATAGTAAGATAGAAAATATCATAATGCCATTATATAAATCTATGGTACACCCACACCTTGAATACCGCAAGCAATTCTGGTTGCCCCATCATAAAAGATACATTAGAATTGGGAAAAATACAGAGAAGGGCAACAAAAATGATTAGGGGGATGGAACAGCTTCCATATAAGGAGAGATGTAAAAGATTGGGACTGTTCAGCTTGGACAAGCGACTACTGAGGGGATACAATAAAAGCCTAATAAAATCATGAATGGTGTGGAGAAAATGAATAAGGAAGTGTCATTTACCCTTTAAATAACACATGAACCAGGGCTAACCCAATGAAATTATTAGGTGTAGTAGGAAGAGAGCCTGAAACATAAGCCCTTGTATCAGAGGCCTGGTATGAGGCAGGACCTAATCACGGAATCTGGCAAAAACAAGGATGATATTGCAGAAATACAATATGCAGTAAATAAACAAAATAAACAAAAAAAAGTACTTCTTCTCACATTGTACAGTCTATCTGTGGAACTTGTTGCCAATGGATGTTGTGAAGGCCAAAACTATAACAGGGTTCAAAAAAGAATTAGGTAAATTCACAGAGCACAGGTGCATCAATGGCTATTAGCCAAGATGCAACCTAATGCTCAGGGTGTCCATAAACCTGACTGCTAGAAGCTGAGAAAGGGCAACGGGGGGGGGGGGGGAGAGGAGGGGTGTCACTCAATAAAGTGACCTGTTCTATTCACTCCCTCTGGCACTCTGTCAGAAGAAAGAATACTGGGCTAGATGGATCTTTGGTCTGATCCCATATGGCCATTCTTATGTTCTTCTTAAGAACAAGGAAAACAAGCCATGCCTGCAGTCTGGGGGACTGTGCTGGAAAGTATTTAGGGAGTCACATAGTGGACAAGTAACTTGAGATGAGTTTCCAGTGGGATTGTGTAGCAAAAAGGGCTAATGCTCTCCCTGACTGTATAAACAGGGGAGTACTG